TCATCCTCAAAAGAGTTATAGCTAAAACCATCGTCCTAGCATAAGCTGCTTCTTTTGATAGTTTTACTTACGGATACTGTATTATACTAGGTTGAACTGCGGTGAAAAAAACAAAAAAACAAAAAACAATTGCCGTAAGGATCTGCTCCTCTGTTGACTCCCCAATGGCTTGGGTGTAGCTAGGAAAGGGTAAGAGCGTGCATGGGCTTGTCCTTTAGTTGAAGGTCATCAGTTCTAAATAATAGAATTTACCCTTAATTAATTTCTCCAACGCTACCATGAAACCGCTAACGACACATGGCCGTTACGATATACTGTGTTTAGATCATATCAATAATGAAGCTACGAAGGATTCCCTTAGAAATATTTACATATGTGATTATATTCTCATAACCCCTTACGTCCACCCAGCATAAATGGCCAAAAGAAAGGGCAAAATTATGGAACTCTCTTAGAAAGGGATAAGCAATGAGCACTTGAACTCTGATAAACAGCATAATTACCGTACCTGCACTACGACAAAAAGCCAGTCGCTAATATACTGAAAAGTGACATACAGTACATGAGCTGCCCCGCCAGCTGGTTCTTAAACAAGTGCAAGACTTCTGAGAACACCGACACCCTCCTGACAAGATCCATCTAGTTTGCTGACATCCTTCATTGGGAGTTCTATCTAGCTTCACTTGGAATGTGATGGTAAGTTCCTCCATGCCTGTGTGGGTAAATTGCACAATTACTAAGATTCCAAAACTATTTCATAAGAAAACAAGCGAAAACAAATTGCTAAGCAAAAATTCCACTTAAAATAAAATGTAAGTTGTAATGGAAGTTGATACCTTGCAAAATATTATAATGTTGCTCAGGATTTATTCTTTCAAACTTCAGTAATATAACTATTGACATATACAAGAATATTACGAATTTTCTCTTTATAAATAACTACCCAGCAACAGTACATCTGCTGGAGTATAAATTCAAGGATAAAGAAATAACACAAGGTATGTACATGCTGTCTTTATATTTCCATAACATTACACTCTCGTGATTTGTCTTACCACTGATTGGGTGACCGAAAAAGCATCATAATATATTCAAATGTACAAACATTACCTATTTGTCTCTAGATGTGCTAATCATTACATGTGTACACAACTGGGAATTACTTCAGTGCGCTACACATTATGTAGAACAGATCCATTGACCTGTTAGTGATGTCATTAATATTGTCCCATATATAATGTGTGCCTGGACACCTATGTGATATTGTTCATCAGTATATATATATATATATATATATATATATATATATATATATATATATATATATATATATATATATATATATATATATATATATATATATATATACTTTAGGTTGTGCGATTTGTGGAGGTGGGCCAGTTGCTGAACAACTAGACGGAGGTAATGACAAAAGAAGTAACTTTGATGTGGGTAAGGAAATGTAAGGTAGCCTACAGGTTACTGTAGTACCTGTAGAAGGTAAGAAACTAGGAGTGGTGGTAAAATTTAAGGGAAGGGAAGACTTGGAGGGAAGGAAGCAGAGTTCAGGCAAGGTAGGCAGATAAGAGGTAAGTTAAGGCAGGATGAACAGATAAGAGGTAAGTTAAGGTAGGATGGGCAGATAAGAGGTAGGTTAAGGTAGGATGAACAGATAAGAGGTAGGTTAAGGTAGGATGGGCAGATAAGAGGTAGGTTAAGGTAGGATGGGCAGATAAGAGGTAAGTTAAAGTAGGGTAGACAGATATGAGGTAAGTTATGGTAGGATGAACAGATAAGAGATTAAGAGGTAAGTTAATGTTGGCAGATCAGATAAAGGGAGGATGATAGTAATTGTACATTGGGAGAGTTGGTAGTGGACAGGAAACATCAAGAACTACCTCAAGGTTTTAGTTATAGCAGGGATGAAGTGCTGAATAATATAGAATAAAAGAGGTGCACTGATTCTGTTTTGGAATAAGATATGGTAAAAATTTTGTTGACGTCTAACAAAGTCGAACCATAATGATGTCTAATTCATCACTGTTTATGTCAGACAAAATAATTTCATATATGAAACAAGTTTATTTTGGTCAAATCTTGGACAAACATATATTTGTAGAAGCACATTTTGAGGCAAAACTGGGAGTGTGTTGCACTTATGAATGAAATATATAAAGTCGAGAGGATATGAAAAAATATAAATGATCCAACTTAAAGCAAATAGTAAAAATTGGACTACAGAGACAAAGGAGGCGTGTGTGTGTGTGTGTGTGTGTGTGTGTGTGTAGCACGGCAGGCAATATGTTAAATACCGACACTCCAGCGACATAAATAAATACACTGGGAAGAAAATTTCTAACCTGAGGAACTATTTACTATGTGTGGTGAAGGATTTCTATTTTGGTGGGTGGCAGGTGATGCAGGGGAGACTGGTGGATGCGATTTAGTATAAAGTGCTCAATATATATCCACAGACTTTAAATGAATATGAATTACGGTATATAACTGTCTCTTCCATAACAGAATGGGGACCTGTAGTATTATTGGAAATATATATCTGGGATAATGAATCTCAGAAATAAAAAGTTCCTAAGATGGGGTGACAGAATGGCTGAGGTAAATTACCAAAGCTCTGAGACAACTGACAAGATCATACTATCAGCTCCTAATGTTGACAGATTGGTTGCTGGACTTACATTTCCTATAGTTGCTTACTGCATTATTTCCAAGAGTGTGGGTTGGTTGGTTGGTTGGTCAGAAGGGGAGTGTCCAGTGATCAAAATTTACGTCACTAGGTCTGGATGGACATGTGGTGACAGGTGAGAGGACATGGAATGATATGTGTAATGGAAATGGTTTACACTGGACCAAACTCAAAATAACTTACACTGCAGAATTTTTTCTTGATAAACAAAATTTACACTGGAACAAACAAGAGATTTACATTCATATAAATAGTAAATGTTTTAAGCTGGATTACACAATAGATATAAACTAGATCAAACAAACAGTTGTAAATTAGTTAAAGTACTGACGAGCTGGAACATGAATATCAAATATCCAATATAAGCAAACATACTGTATTGTTATAAAGGAGAGAAACAAGACCAAATATTTAGAGAACAGTTACTGGAAGAGATTAAAAATAGTAAGATATACTGTAATATTTGTGAAAAATGTAATTACCTAGACTGAAAATAAGAACCACGGGAATTACTGAACATTTTGAAGAAATTATAGAAAGAAGAAACACTTCTTCTAAGTGCAGGTAGTTTTAAATAAAAAGCAAATGCAACAACTCCATGTAACTCAAGAATTCGCAAGACTACAGTATATATATATATATATATATATATATATATATATATATATATATATATATATATATATATATATATATATATATATATATATATATATATATATATATATATATATATATATACAGGTATAGCCAGTTTGCATGTAAATAATTATATTTTCTGATGATGCTCCAAAAATTTGATTAATATTAACCTAATCAGCTAGCAATAAGTTGACAAACTAATCTCATATGATTATTTACCGTATAAGAAAATTTATGGTGGAGACTCGCATGTAACAGCAGTGATAGTCACTTATTGTAACACATGTTTCCTTTAAACAATGAATAACGAAGACGGTGTTACTCTGGTGCAGTGCTTAACTTGGTAATTATAGTTTAGTACAGTACCTACAGATCACAAAATTTATTGAAGTGCTTTGATTACAGAACATCAACATTTCTATGAAAATATGGTATATTTTTGGGTTATACAGTACTGTATATCCAATATACATGCTTATAATTAAATATTTTTTGCATGAAATAATGTTTTTTTTCACTTTAGACCACAGTAAAAAGTTATCAGCAAGAAATGATTCTTTACCCAAAAGAGAAGGATGGAATTGTACATCACTTTGCCAATCCTCCTCCAGTTTCTGTGTTTCTTCATAAAGTCAAGAAGTAAATCCATACACCTCTACTTTTGCTGATAGTGTAAGAGAATAATCTCCCATTTATGAAGATTTAAAAAAAGTTTACAACATGCAAGAGTAGATACCAGGACTGGAATGTACTCCCTGGAATGTACTCCCTCCAGGCTCATGGTATGTGCCGAACCCATTTTATAAATTCTGTGTAAAACAATATTGCACTAGAAATTCCTTTCCCCCAAAAATGAAACAGAAATAACGTTCTATTCTGTATATAGGTTTTATCCACTGTTACCCAGAATATATTACAAAAATATATGGGTTACAGTATCTTTTTATATCTCTATCCTGTACATAATTATCATTTCATCGTTGAAGAAAGTTCAGTTAGATATATAGAAGTCAACTTTCGTTCATAAATTGGAAGAGAAAGAAATTTGAGATGATTTCTCAATAAAAATACTCTCATTGAAATTCAAATCAAGAGCAGCTTTCACACTTCTCAAAAGCTAATTCTTTATGAATCCATGTGATACACAACTACAGTACTTTAGTGAGAGAAAAATGTGACGTGAAAAACCTTCATGAGTGAGCATGTCTTTAGAGTGAATAATCCCTTGTTGATTCACTCTCGAAAATGAACTTCCACATTGTTGGTCAATCAGACGCCTGAAGATGATAGTCGGATCTCACTAAGTAGTCTTTTGAAGAATGACCCCAACTGACATACAGTACATTGCTGGCTTGTGACCAACTTCCCCGTGGCCGGATATTACGTGATCCTTGAAGCTGATGATTTCTGTGCTTCAGTCATCATTCTGTTATTTTTACCTTCACTATATTTTTTAGTTACTCATTCTGTTTAGGTAATCTAATTTCCAACTGAAGTACTACTCTAGAAAAAGAAGAACGACTCACATAGTGGTCTCATTGTTAAAAATGACAGAGCTGTTATTTATTCTATGTTAAGATCGATAATATATATACAGTACCTGTAATATATATATATATATATATATATATATATATATATATATATATATATATATATATATATATAATTCTGTTTCATTTGAAATTTATACCAGATGTAGGCAATGCCATAACTGAGCCCTTTAACTGAGGCAACTGTAGATTTCAAATATTTTTTCACAATGTGATATAATTATGATACTCTAAAATCTACCTTCGTTGATAAACATATTTACAAGAACTGGTCAAAATGAGAACCAGAGTTGGAAGTCACAAGAAAACAGGACAAAGGAACCTAAGGGGGAGCTTCAAAGAGCATGTGGACTGGAGCATGCAAAGTAAAGTTTTCTTGCTTATTAATGTACCACTTGTGTAGCAAAAAACACTTTTCTTTCCAAAAACTGGCCTAATCTTGAAATTTTTTCAGAAAATTTAAACTTTTTTATGTGGGTATATTCTACCAATGAGACTGAACAAATACACTCAATGTGGTGAAATGTTCAGTGTCTAATGTTCACCACGAACTGAAGTAAATACATAAATATAAATATTAAGGGGAACTGGAGAAGTATGGAATAAAAATCGACAAACAAAAAGTGATTACTGCATATTTACAAGAGTGCAATGAGACTAAGCAGGTGTAGCTATCCAATGAATGGGGCGAAGTGTTGTACTGTATACTCGTACATATTAACACATCACAAGAATGACAAGCGGCAGTAAGTAATATATCTTTCGGAAGAAAAACAAATACGTATATGTTTTTATGAATGGTCTCAACCAAGAAACAGACATTGGAACGAAATATATTTGATGGTGATGTTCACTCAATAATATACGACTTGATCACAACGGAAATTGGCTACTGAAAAGCTATAGAAGTAAATTGGGTCGTGAACTGAAGGCTAAACTTTACGGTGTACAACTGGAGGAATTGTATGGTGGAAATAATACGGACTTAAACACAAAATAAACATATCAGTGACAAAAGAAGGTAATATTGCAGTAAAGAGCAACCACAGAATTCCGGAAATTCACTCCACTCAATCAATAGAACTATTTTTTCTATGATCATTTTCTTATATTACATTAGGTTAGGTTAGGTTAGGTAACACATTTTTTTTATCAGATTCTTTGGTTGCTGTAACCTACACTTTTACCCCAAAGAATATCCACGACGAGCTTAATAATCATGTAAAATGGGAAAATTTATGAGAACAAATTTCAACAATCCTAAAAATCCATTAAAGATACACAACAAGGTGTTCCAGAACATGTAGCTTAATTCGATAAAATTAGGAAACTGACTTTCTGTATTAAAATTTCACGAGTGAGAAAGGGATACAAAAATAGCAATGCCCTGTATCTAATACAGTGTGGACAATAATTCAAACACCATCAAATAGTATAACTGCTATAGGGAAAATCCAGTATGTTTGTTTGTTTCCTCTGCTGATGTTTATTGTCTACAAGTCCCCAACATACATGGCCTACAGTTTTTTCTAACTTCATATACTTTTTTTTTAAGACAGCTTTACAAAATTCTGAACACTGATTAAGATAATCTTACTTTAATTCGCAATTCGATACAAAACTTTTATTAGTGTAGTGCCTTTTCATACGATCTCAACCCCACGTTATCCTGTTCGTCACTTTACTGCTTACTGAATGTTGACAGTAACTGGACATTTACATGTTTTTGAATACATTTGAACATGTGCCAGTATTGGTCAGATTACTCCACTTGTTCACAACTTTTACTCCAAAAGAAGTCAACTTACAGTTTTCCGTTTTGGTAGCTTCTGTAACTTGAAGCTGTGACCTAGAGCAGCCGTTAGTTAATTTATAAATATGCACACTGAAGGGCACATTGACCATTGAGTGGTTATGCAATTGTAAGTAATTTTTAGCTCTTCTAGAAGTAAAACCTGGTTAACTGTAAACGATATAGGCTCTCCTGGTAATGAAGGTATTTGAGTACCAATACCACTTTGGTGTCACTTCTGTGGACGTTCCCTAGACGATCACCTGGGTACTCAGATCTTCTTAGCAATCCAATAAGTTTACTAGCAAGATTTACCTTCTCATAATGATCTCCCATCTAGTTCCAGAGTATAGTGGCAATGAAAATGTTTTCAGTTACAATTTCAAATGGGAAAAAAATCATAGTAAAATAATTACTATTGAAGATAAAATTATTACTAAATTAGCCTTTGATGAAGGTCATTATGACAGTTATCAGTAATTGAAACAAAATTCTGAAATTACAATTCAGCCATTATCTAATGTGCATGTACAGTAGAAATGGAAGTTACATTTGTACTATTTCATCTCAGAATGTTCAACTTATATTTCACATGATAGACTATAATATATAACTAACTGGATGGGATTCTTATATGCATATGTACATCTTGTACAAGTGTTTGGTGATTATACTATGAACAACACATCGCGGGAAAGTGTTTACGATTTAAAGTAATTGATGATATTCTCCGACTTATCCAGCTATAAAAAGATACTTGGGTGAGACGCAATCCACATTCTCCATATATGATCCAAATGTGAAATGAAAAAAGTATAAATCACAGTGTTATGATTTTTTCCGCTCAAATGAAGAAGTTTCCCCCTATAGGTTCAGAAGAAATAAGTTTTCTATGAAGATATAGTAGGAGGGACCATACCAAACACGCCGCAGGAGTTTATTTTATGGTACGTGACAACTGGAACTCGACCTTGATTCCTTGATTTATTTAAAATCATAATGGCCAAAATCTTTACAACCAATAAATGTTACATACTGCAAAAATTTGCTTAGGGTAAGGAATTTAGGAATTAAATAGTGTTTGGATTGAAGGAAAGAAAAGGAAACGATGGGGCTCAGTAAAAATTTAGGCCAGTGTTCCATTGTATAAATAAACTAATGCTTCACTGGCATTATTATACAGTCATGTTTCCAGACTCACTCTCACCAGATATCTAACAAACTTCACTAGTCCGTCCATTCCCGCAACACAAATCTAGTGTTAGTCATCATGTAATATATCTTTTTATGAACTATACTCTACCTCACTACTGTATAGGCAACAGTCTATGAGCTTTATTTATAGCAGATGTATAAAAAATGTTTCAGAAAGAGGCATTCAGGGAACACATGTTGAGGGTTGGTGGTGGTGGTCACTCCCTGTTGTTGCCCATGAAGTGCTGTAGAAAGTCGATCGGCAGGGGAAAGATGATGGTCGAATTTTTCTCTGCAGAAATTGTGTTTAGCGTCTGAAAGAAATGATAAAATGATTAAACAAAATAAGAGAACTTCATAACTTCAACAATGTCTAAACTGGTCATTCACTAACATATATATTCTATTTTGAACTTGTTTAATTTATCAGAATAAGCAAAAGCTAAGAACGAGAAAATTGGATATATTGTACACAGTATTTGTATAATCATATTTTTATAATCAAATAAATTATTAATCTTGAAAAAAAATACTATATGGCTGTCAGAGTTGATTAGGTTTCTTTCCATAACAAATTCCATAAAATCACTGTTAAATTTAATGGGCAAAATTGTAATTATTTTAAATAAACAACTGATCAACATACACACAGAGGACTACTCAAACGATCATAAGATTAACCAGACCTTCCTAAAGATACACACTCACCTCTGAAGGCTACAGACACCCCTTCCTGATGGTACAAAGACACCCTCCTGATGGTACATTCATCCCTCCTGACGGTACAAACACCTTCTTCTGGTGGTACAGACATCCCCCTGATGGTACAGACTTCCCTCCTGACGGTATAAACACCCCTTCCCGATGACACAAAGATACCTTCCTGACGCTACAGAAACTCCCACCTGAGGTACAAAGACGCTCGGAGGAACGGATGCTATACCTGGAGGTACCGAAGCTGGAGTGCTGCTGGAGCGAGGGAGAGGACCTCAGCGGCCTCTTTCAGGGCTCGGGACGACTTCTGTTCTCCTTCAGCAGCGATCACCTGGAACACCACACAAACTCATTATCCTCTTATACCTGTTTACTTCACTGCTATAATCTAATTTATTCGTTTATATATATTTTTGTGCTATAGGTAACAATTAGCTATAAGCAACACATATTTACACTTCACATCCAGCATTATTTTAATTTTATTATATATTTTACTTACAAACGAATGAAAATACTTTATTTCCTAGTACACCACGGTTTTTATTGCACGTGCTAATTACATTTGTTTAATTTACTAATATAGTATCATTCCCTTTAAGTTATTAATGAAATGATTACTCCAATTTATTTGGCTGATATTTTAATTATTTATATATTCCATTTGTTAACATACTAACTGCTCTACTTATATAGGCCTATTTAATATACTTATGCAGTATTTACTTCATTTACACAATTTCCAATGGTTTTGATTATAGTAGGAAAGGCTGAGGATAATCGGATTCTTTGTAATGCAAAATTTAACTTCCATATTTCCACTTCAAGCAGCAGAAAGGAAAGTGAAGCCCATACGTCACGGTTCTTACTTCCGGCTCACCATTGACGACGTTCTGGCAGTGTAGTCCTCAACCCCCGCAAGGTGCTTTAGTGACTCGGTTAAGTTCTCCCATAATCTATTAACACGGCATAAGAGAGCACACAAGTACCTCTGATAGCTGATACGTGTCTGTCTGTAATACGGAGTTTAATATTGGTTAACCTCACTATAACTGTGGCCTCAGCCCTGATCTCACCTTAGCTCTGGCCTCCCTCGCAGCCTCAGCTTCTGCCGCCATAGCTCGCTGTAGCTGTACGGGTAGCCGGACATCTTTTCTGAGGTGAGGAAAGTGAGGAACATGAGGTGAGGGATATGAGTTGAAGAAAATGAGCAACACGAAATGGGGAACGTTATTAGCATGAAGTGAGAAACGGAATATGAAGAGGAAAGTGAGAAATGAGAGGTGGTAAACGAGAAATATGAATGAAGAAAGTTAAGTACGTGAGTAAAAATGATGATTATGAGGTGAGAAAAGGAATGTGTGAGGTAGGAAAAGAGGAAAGTGAGATGAGGAGAATGTGAGAAAGTAGGTGGGGAAATAAAGAACAGGATGAGAGGAAAGTGAGGAATATTGCAAGAGAGAGATGATGAAGGAAGTGAACATGATCTCGAAAAAAAAATAATTCAGGAAAAAAAAGAACAAGTTTGGAGAATTAAAAAAGATCATGAAAATACGTGGGAAATTATACGATTTTTTCTGAGTTTTCACACTTACGTTAGTTAAGAGAATTTAAGCGAGAAGGTTGGAAATCCTATACATTACTCACAATATAAGACCTGAATGAGTACTGTGCTATATATCCATTGTCCATAACTTTGGAAACTTTTATCTACACGCTACACCCGTTTGCTGTCAGTCAACCAATCACAACCAAGTAAAAGTCCGTGCGTAAAGCTATTCGCTCTCCCATTCAGTGTCAAGCGGCGTTACCTTTGCTGTGATTGGCTAACGAGTAACGACTGACGGTATAATGTGTTGTAGCAGACGATGGAGGAAGGGGAAACTGTCTCCCCACTCTGTTGTCGGGGAAGCTAGCCGGGTACTATGAATAATATACTGTATTATGGCAGTGCTATAATCTTATATAATATGGAGATTACACGCGCACACACACACACACACACACACATATATATATATATATATATATATATATATATATATATATATATATATATATATATATATAATATATATATATATATATATATATATATATATATATATATATATATATATATATATATATATATATATACATATATTTATATATAGTTATTATATTTTTCTATTTAGATAAAAGTATACAATATGGAGGGTAAAGAGAGCAACGCTATCACTAGGTAACACAGGCGGTGATGCTGGGAGGAGTATCATGCCACACACAAGCTCACGTCACGTCTTGCATAAGCCAACTTTAGCACACGTTCAGAGCTGATATGGTAGACTGAAACTGAACAACAGAAAACTTATATATAATAAATATATTCACAAATATCGTATTTAATACAGAGTATATCTTTATTTAAAAAAATATAGTAGTTTATCAGAAGTGTAAAATGAAGATGAGGGTTAAGGTGATACATGGAGATAATACGTAGGAATAGAATCACACATTAAAAGACGAGAGTGTCACTCCTCTGGTATAAGCCACTTCCTGTCTGTTCTTCACGCTGTTGTTTTTATATCTTAATAAAAAGTACAGAAATTGTGTTCATATTATATACAGGGCCGGATTCAGGAGTGGGCAAAGTGGGCAGCTGCCCAGGGGCCTCCACAATCTGGGGGCCTCCACATATTACAATATTTTATTTATTTGTTTATTCATTTGGATTATTTTTATTTTCATTCTTTAAAATTCATGTTTATCTATTCCATCACGTAAAACTATGTTCAGCAAGAAGCGTGATAGAAATTAGGCTAGCTAGTTATAATGAGGGGGGCCTCCACAAAGAGGCTGCCCATGGGCCTCCACAGGTCTAAATCCGGCACTGATTATATATGGATCTCAAATCACTCATCTTCACATGAATGTTCAAAACAGAAAAGGGATATACGTCAGTTTGGTAACACAAAGACGATTTCCCACCATCTGTTATAGTGTGAACAGTAAGGGTGACACTCCCACCTGTGAGCAGTGTAACCCTCCACCCTAGTGACTCCCCCGCCCCACAACCAGCATGCACCTTACATAACATCCGCCCTCTTATGTAATTTTCAGATACTCTACACAATAGTATATTCAACAGGAAACGTTTTTACACGAATATTAACATTTCTAAAATATTATCACATGTGGAAGTAGGCTACAGATATAAAACAATTTTGGCACACAAGTAAATTAAGTCGGGAGTCCGGATACTACACCCTATACAGTATTATTGTATAAGGTAACAAAGCCGTGATCCCATTATAGTCTAAGTTGTGAAGCTGATTTTTGTGAAATATTACTTCTGATGAAAACGAAACATCTCATTATGTTTACTAACACACTATTAAATCTGTCCTTACCCTCAAACCTAACAGTGATTATAATCTGGTTTATATAAGTACGAAAAAAATATAATCAATAACCAAGGTGAAGTATCAATGTATTATTCACTTAATTTGAACTGGGTTTTGCTAATTAATGTCTCATAGATGGACACACACACACTGTTTAAACACACACACACACACACACACACATACATACGGTAGCTGGGTCCTGGGGCTAGGCTAGCGAGTCTCTCAGGCTGGCTGCATCAGTGGTGTTAAACTTGATACTGTTTTTGGAACGTGTGTGAGTGTTTATCATGTGTGTAATTAAGACGTTAACAATGTGTCTATGGGCCTATAAATCCTGAGTGTCACGCTAACTTAAAACACGTACGAAAATTCAGGTGTTTTGCAGACGTTTATACAACTTATCTCCCAACACACCTGGATATTCGATTCCTGTTAAGAGTTCAGAGATTTGGGGGAATATAAGACACGTTGAACGTTTCTAACACACACACGCACGCACACACACACTGAACACCGTCCATTGAATTAAGAATCATTATACTGTATTTGGAATCAATTGCACTATTTACCTTTTATTTCCAGGTGAGGTGATGTCTCTCTACCTTTAGTTAAATCTAATTAATTAAATAATGTTTATTTACGTTCACTTTCATTAATTACGACCAAGTCACCAATTATTTCTCAACAATGTAATGACGTGGTGATGGCTGTTTCACGCATCTACTGCAACCTGTCAACACAACATTTAGAATAAAGCACTTTATAATTACTACCATTTAGTATTACGTAACTGCACGTCACACCATCACACCTGTTTAGAACTATGGGCGACTGGCTAAGTTATAAAAATAATTAATAAGTTACAATAATAATAATAATAATAATAATAATAGTAATAATAATAATAATAATAATAATAATAATAATAAAATAATATTTTATTTTCAGATTACGTTTGGCCAATGTTGAAATCAGGAAACGTCAATACAAATTAACATCCACTATATATATATATATATATATATATATATATATATATATATATATATATATATATATATATATATATATATATATATATATATATATATATATATATATATATATATATATATATATATTAAGGGGAATAGCCCACCCCGGCGGAAAAAGTAAGAGACAAAAAGTATGTCAATCTACTACACAATGAAGTCGGAAACCAGCTTTTTGAAGCGAGACAGATTGTAAGAGGATGGAAATACAGAAGACAAATATCCACACAGAAACGGTGGGCACCATGGGCAAGACGAGTGTCACTAGCCCACGGCCTTGCCAGCGGCACACAGATTGCCAAATCTACTGATCATTGCCCGTTAAAGTACTTGTAAAGGAGAGAGTGAAGCAGCATTGCGGCCAAGAGAAAGGGAAGAGAGAGTGTTGACTAAATGAGAGTACCGCCCTCATATCTGAGGATTGGCGACCACAGTCCTCCACTCTGAACGTTGTCGGGCTGCTTTTACCAATCCTCTAAGAGTCTAAGGTTTTGTATCTCTCTATTGACTAAACGAGAGTTAATAAGACGAATTGCTTTTGATTTCGTCCAATCTATTTTGAGACGCAGGAAGTGCCTTACGATGGCCTACACTTGGTGCTTTCTGAAAGTGTGAACTGTAGGACCATTTTATTGAATAAACAACTATCTATCTAATCCATTGTCAACATTATTCAAATTTAGAACTGTTAAGTCCGAGAGATTCTTTGTTCAACTATTAATATTACAAACTTTTAATTTTGTTGTCCTAAATAAGCATTTGGGAAACTAAAAACATATATTGAATAATTATAAAGACAAAAAACACTGTCTTCTTTGATGAGTTTCAGTAACAACATTGGCCAAGAAAGTTTCTCATTATACTGCATATGTTTATTTATTTATTTAAGTTTATGTTAGTTAAACAAAAAAGAAAACGAAACTATAGATGATTTTAGAGAAAACACCCAAAAGATAAGGTTTAGGGCAAACTATAATAAACACTGAAGGCAATACACATTCGACAAATAAAAATTATTTTGAAAAAGAACCTTAAGACGTCATGCGAGATAAATCACAGGATAACTTAACCTGAATAAAATAATTAATTTAACAGGGATTTTAACTTGCTATGAAGTAACACGAGGATTTGATTACAGTACTGGCATGGGTCTGTATTATAGGAACTGGTAGGGGAACCACTGGGGGAGAGGGCATAATGGAAGGGGGTAATGTACAGCAGGAAGGAAGAGGTTGGTATGGTGGAATAAACGCAATGAGGGAGAGAGGGAGGGAAAGGGACCACAGACGAAGTGGTTGCAGGAGGTGAACAAGAATGGCTGGCGGTCTAACACTTCACTACCGGGCACAGGGAGACACTGGTCTAGACTGGCTTGCACTGGGTCCTCAGTGGGCTGGTTCCTCCCTCACAACCCGCCAACACTCTCATCCTTAATTCAAGTCTTCAGATTATCGAAGATCCTTACGTTATTGTTCTTACCCCTAGCTGAAACTAGAAGAGAAAGATCTGGGAGTTTATAGTAACAACGAAATGAAGTTCTCGGATAACTGCGAAAAGGTGTATCATGTGAATACAGTGGTAGAGGTTTACATGAAGACCTCTCACACATTTTTCGATGGCTCGTCTTTCATGTTTTTTTTTTTTAAGAGTACTGTAATTCTTTGTGGTCTCCAAAATATGTCAAATGATATGTCCAAAAGAGGGCCACCAAACTGGTTCTGGCCCTCACGACCTTATTTGCCAAGAGAGATTATAACGCCTAGACTTACCGAGTTCATACGACAAAAGGGCAAGGTGAGAATTTATAAAGAATTGTAAGAACATTCCTTACTCAGTCAAATGCACATATTTGGAGTTAGCGGATGGCCACTTTATTAGAAGTTACAGTCCCAAGTTAAAGAATCTATCAGTTAAAAAAAAAAGAAAAAAAAACAGCCCGAGTTAAAATCTTTGGAGTAAGAGTTGTGAAGTTTGGAAAAAAAAAAAAACTGCCAGAGAATATTGTAACAGCACTAAATGTGAGCTCCTTCAAGTCCAGGGTTTTCAACACTGACAGACTAGTATGTTTAGGTGCACTCAAGAGCCCGTACATGCACAGTTCTCACCACCCACGTAGATGCGTGGTAAAATAATGAACGTAAGGACCTCTGAGAATCTAGTCCTCCCAATCTCTGGACACAGTCTTTTCCATCTCGTGAGAACTCTAGAAAAAATAAACCCAAATTCACACCTAAAAATTATTAAAAGGTTCGATCATGGTGGACATTTCACGTTCTTCTTGTGCACCCCCAAGTCTGCTCTAATCTACACACCTAAAGCTCTGCTACACACCATAAAGCTCTGCTTCACATCCCAAGCTCTGCTACACACCACAAGTTCTGCTACACATCCCAAGCTTTGCTACACACCCTGAGCTCTATGACACATCCCAAGCTCTTCTACACACCCCAAGCTGTGCTACACACCCCAAGCTCTGCTACACACCCCAAGCTCTACTACACACCCCAAGCTCTGCTACACACCCCAAGCTCTTCTACACCCCCTGAGCTCTTCTACACGCCCTGAGCTCTTCTACACACCCCGAGTTCTTCAACACACCCCAAGCTCTGCTACACACCCCAAGCTCTTCTACACACCCTGAGCTCTGCTACACACTAGCTCTTCACGCCACAGACTCTACTACACCCAGGCTCTGCTCTGCTGCACACCCCAAGCTCTGCTACACCCCAGCTCTGCTACACACCCCAAAGCTCTACTACACACCCCAAGCTCTGCTACACACCCCAGCTCTTCTACACCCCCTAGGCTCTACTACACACTAGGCTCAGCCTACCACCCCACAGGCTCTACTACACACCCCAAGCTCTGCTACACACCCCAAGCTCTGCTACACCCCAAGCTCTACACACAAGCACACACCCAAGCTCTACACACCCCAGCTCTGCTACACACCCCAGCTCTTCTACCCCAGGCTCTGCTACACCCAGGCTCTGCTACACTCTACTACACACACCCCCGTCTGCTACACACCCCAAGCTCTACTACACAGCTCTTCTGCCTGAGCTCTGCTACACCCCAGGCTCTTCTGCCCCTGAATACTGCACCCAGGCTCTGCTGCACACTGGCTCTGCTACACTGAGGCTCTACTACTTTTAAGCTCTACTACACACCCCAAGCTCTGCTACACACCCCAAGCTCTACTACACACCCCAAGCTCTGCTACACACCCCAAGCTCCTCTACACCCCCTGAGCTCTTCTACACGCCCTGAGCTCTTCTACACACCCCGAGTTCTTCAACACACCCCAAGCTCTTCTACACACTCTGAGCTCTGCTACACACCCTGATATCTATTACACATCCCAGGGTCTCAAATACGAGGGTGGAGTGAGAGCTGGCCAAGAGATAGAGAGGGAGAGAAACTACAGGGAGAGAGTGTGGGGCAGGGAGAGAGGGACGGCCCACAACACCACTCGGCCTTCTCTTTGTGTACTCACATTTCCACCCTCTCCACCTTAATGCCCCAATTCTCAGTGGCATCGTCTAAGACTCCCTGAAATGATGAATGGGTTGGTGCTGTCAGTTCACGGGCGCAACCTCGATTAGCTGCAATACAAGTGCTTAAGACTGGCAGGCGGGGGACGTGTGTGTTTGGAGGCAACCAAGATATGAAGTATTTTTCTTGGGTATTTTCTTATGATATCAAAGATTTTTTTAATAGTAACTAAAAATATTTATGAAAACAAATATAGCTTTTTCATTGGTCGTTTTTTATTACTAAGATGAATTTAGTCTGAGTTAGGTGCTTTATATGCCCAGATTTTATTTAATTGTTTTTTGTAATGATTGAAATTACCGAAAGAATATTGCAAATAAAATCAATAGAGTAGAGAGATAGAACCAGCAAAGTAAAATAAAATATAGTTCTAGCTGTCTACTCAACCCTGATCATCAACAACTCGTCCACACCCGTCCCCGACCACAGGAAACTAGAAGTGTTTGTTTACTTACATCTCGACCCGCTCTACCTTGATACCCCAGTTGTCGGTGGCGTCGTCCAGCGCGTTCTGTAAGTAGTCACCACTATGAGCCACCTGCTGGGGGGCCGCCATGTTGGTGCACTAGGTGGTGGTAGTGGTGGTGCTCGAGGTGACGGTGCACTGAGTGGGGGGCCTCCTTACTAGTACACGCTTATATTTCACACCAGGGGGTTCGTTTTCACCACCAGGGGGTTTATGTTCATTCCCTGGGGTTCATGATCCTTTTGGGGTTCATACTCTCTCAGGCACAGGTTCATACTTAGGGTATGAATATAATTTAGATGTGGTTTAGATGCTACAGCCACACGCTTAAAACTAACAGAAGAATCCTCACACCAAAATAATCTGTGTATCGACGGTACATTTCATCCCCGTAATGTTTTTGTAAAGTCTAAAAGGTTATAGTAGTCTGGATGGCGGCATACGACACTAACCAAACGAACCCAACTAAAAAATTATGTAACTGATATCAGTTTTGGTTTGATTTACATGAAACATTAAACCTAACTCCAAAACAAACTTAAGTTAGGACAAGTGTGGTTCGTCTGTGTTGTGTATGATAAATGACTTACGCCCGTAGTCCCCAGCTCTCGAGGTTTGAGGACATGGATGGCGGGTCTGCTTCAGGAGACTGTCAAGTTATTTCCGAAAGTTAACACTCGTTTTGGGAATTTTGCATCAATGGAAGGTTACGGAAATGAACAGTGCCGTAGATAACACAGTATATTATTCTGGTGGGAGGAATCTTTTGCTTGATGTTTTATTAAGGATGTACAAGCAGTAATTGCATTCCCCCTCTCCCTCCTAGTAACCGGAGCCAGGGCAAGGGAAGGCCTGGCGATCGGAAACTGTAAGATTGTACCAATGTACCATACCTCTCACAGACACTCTCCACCCCTCTCCCGTTTAAACGTTGTTGGGTAGTTTGGGAACTATCGTGGCTGGTGATGTTGCATTGTGTCAATACCCGGCTACTGTGGAGATTACTGCTGACTGCACCTGTACTCTTCAACACTATCACGGGCTTTCATAATCAATCATACTGGGTATCTTCTGGCGTGGCGAGTGTTCATACTATTTATTATTTCTACTTTGAAATGATTCAAACTGGTTCATATGAGTTAATTGTCGATTTTCCAGTTGTTTCTTCCCAAGAGGATGAACACAGCAAGTTGGGAACAAGAGTGTAGGCTACAGGCAGCTGAACAAACTTGAATGCAGTTAACATATTTTATATCAGTCGGAATTCGTTCATCAGTATGAAGGTGAAACATAATACATAAGTGTAGTGAAGCAATACCCACTGTTATTAATTTGTACAATATATTAGTGCCACGAACACACCTTTACTCAGGCAGTATAATAATTACACCTGTTGTATGACTGTATGTCTCTCACAGGTAGATATGATCCGTAACACCTGACCGTGACCTATTAAGCTGTGCCATGGTCGCTATAGTTCACCAGTATAGGCAGGAAGGTGAAGGTGTCTCCTCTAACACTAATTAGTGATCATCCGAGACCAATTATAGATTAACTGCATGAGAGTTGTTGACACTTGTGCTTAGTTATTATATAATTTAATAAAGCAGTAAGTAAGCGTTGTGTAAATATCTGTATATCTTACCAACTTAAAAGCAAATTTGATTAGAGTAAAGAATGGAGTGCAATGGCTCATATCTTTTATACTTTACAGCAGCAATAAATATAGACTTCAGGTAAAACTGTATCAATTGTCATCAAAAGTAAGACAAATGTGGATGAGGTAATTGAAAAAAAAAATGTTATAAAAAAAGGCGGCGTGACCCAGTGAGCAACCATCAGGCAACCAACGTCTCTGAGATGGTTGAGGAAGGTTGGTGAGGGCGCCAAGACTGTCATAGATCACAGGTAACTGGAAAATCGTCAATTATTACATTATTGGTCCTTAGGTTCATACTGGGTTCCTACCGGTTAGTGTATGGAGAGTCATACTAGTTCATACTACATACTATCAGAATGTTTACACTCGTTCATACTAGCGACTACCAAATGACCATACTGGTTTATACTAGCTACCACCAGAAGATTCATGCTGACTTATACTTGCTTTTCATACTAGTTTCTATCAGGTGGTTCAAACAGGATTCACACTGGCTGGTACAAGTTACTCTCAAATGGTTCCAGCAGAATTTCACACTGACTCAAACTGGACAGATGTCGGGTGGTTCATACTGTTTCACTGTTTCATAAAGCCTGTTACTAAAGGTTTACACTGGCTGCTGTATTCAAGGGCCGTGTGTTTGACCCAGAATTTAATGGGAAAAATATTAATCATACAGGAATAGAAAACATGTTAGTTAATCAATTATATTATATCTATAATGTTTTATTTGAGGTTAGACGTTTAACATGCAGTTGTGTTTGGGATTGTTGTACCTGTATAGTATATAGTTTAACACGTGTTACTGGTATCTTGTACTGTGTTTCATGTGTTGGTGTATTTTGTATTGGGGTTTTGTGTTACTTAATAGGTTAGTGTTATATGTGAGTTTGTTAGTGATAGATCAAGCGAGTTTACATTAATAATTAAGTAAACAGAAAGGAAAAATATATCAACATGGAACGGCTAAAAAAAATATATATGTATATATCTCAAACAGTAATGGTAAAAACACACTCGTAAAAATTCGTAATAAAAATATTATGTTTTGTTTTTACGAAGTACTAGTGTAATTAAGGTATGTTACAGTCTGGCTCCATTACGGTCTCTTGTATCTTAAAAAAATTACGATACTACAAGATGAAAGGTTAAAATTTCCGGATATACTGCCAAAGTGCGACACGAATGCCAATGTTTCGGTAATATCAATACACATAATGGCATCACGTTCATTTGTGTTGGGTCCATTTTGGCCGCCGCATGACCACCCCGATACAAAAGCACTCGACTTCTACTGCATTATTTCATCTTCACGGGTCGTCTCTTTTGGTAAAATTTCTAAGCATAAAAGCCTTTGTCACAGTCATAATATATTAATGAAAGCGATACTTGTCTAGTGAATAATGTACAGCCAGTTCTCAAGGTCTTGTCTGGGTAAAGTCTTTGTTGGGCGAATTTTGCAGCGATGACGTCAGATGTAAACAAATATTGGTTACATCTGGTGAATATTGTATGAATGATATTAATAGTAAGTATCGACTGGTTAAAGCCTTTGAACGCAGTTTCATTTTTTCCACGACCAAGTCAAACTCGAAAAGCTTAGAAAAATGTATAAATTCGGCTCCTTATTATCCCGTATCAACATTTAATGTCTACTATATGTTAGGCTCGCATAATAGAGTACCTCAATTGATTAGGAGATACAATGTTAAAGCATAATTTAGTTGCTTGGGTTATATGTGCTGAGAGAGAGAGAGAGAGAGTGTGTACAGTATGTGTGCTGTAGTACCTGTTTGGTCACGCTTCACTCACTTATTCAGGCACTGTACTGTACTATTACACTCAGGGTTAACTCTAGCTATGAGCTGGAGGACACTAGGACCCACAGAGCGTAGGAGCCCCTCACAACTATAATCTAAATAATAGAATACATAAATATTTACTTTATAATTATATTGTTGACTTGTTCGTTTCCAAACACTTGTAAATTTGGAAATAGTTATTATCAGTTGAAGAATGTTCTCACAACTGATTTATAGTACACATCACTGTACACAGAATATTAATATTGACTCTAATGTATATTGACGAAATGGCCCTTGAGTGCAGGGTTACTGCGATTTATCAAGATATGCGCAAGATGTTATCCGTCCGTCGGGGCAAAAACAGATATTCCAACCTGTTGATTATCACCTAAGGTAACACTAGTCTCTTTATAAGACCTCATCCGTGATGGTTCAGGTAGTGACGACACAGAACATCCTGACGTATGTCTATGGAAGGGTCGGAAGGACGATTGCGCCATTCTTTGTATGACTTTGTGAGATTGATCTCCGAGCAACGCCCTGTGTTGGCCACGCTTCCACTTCAGATGTCACATAACGTTCCGGAGCCTAGAACATGATCCTCCATTGGCAGATTTTAAATACTGATTTGTTAAATTCTTTCTTGGGTTAATTTTTTTATCATTGCGTTTGTATTTACTGACAACTGATCCTATCAGAATAAAAATTGAAATTAATTAGTGTGAGGTTGGTAGGTAGTTATCACGTACGGTTGTATATATGATTGAATATTTACGATAGAAACTATAACCGCAAGAATATTTGGGTATTAGGAAGCATCAAAATGTGGAAAGGTAGTCATTGCCGTCATCCTCTTCGTGAATGCATATATTTTGAGGTATAATGCGTCTATGAATACAAAGTCAGCATACCGGTATAGAAAAGATTAATTTTTCAAGGTATCAGAAGACTCAACAGTATACTACAACAGTCCTATATAGCACAGTATATTCAATATATAACATGGTCGTACATTGAGTGTATATGAATTTATTTCACCACGGAGGATATATTGTATATACATTTCTTCCGAGAATACTGATATAACAAATTCTGGCATAATATAATTATGTCAGTATATACCGTATTCTAAATTATATTACGGGATAACACCTTCACCGGACCGCGTGATTTAAATTATATTACCGGGATAACACCTTCACCGGGATAACACCTTCACCGGACCGCGTGTATTCTGAATTATATTACCGGGATAACACCTTCACTGGGATAACACCTTCACCGGGATAACACCTCCAGGACCGCGTATTCTAAATTATATTACCGATAACACCTTCACAGGTTAACACCTTCACCGACCGCGTATTCTAAATTATATTACCGATAACACCTTCACCGATAACACCTTCACCGATAACACTCACCGGACCGCGTATTCTAAATTTATTACCGATAACACCTTTACCGGGATGTCACCTTTACCGGGATAACACCTTCACTGGGATAACACCTTCACTGGGATAACACCTTTACCGGGATGTCACCTTTACCGGGATAACACCTTTACCGGGATGTCACCTTCACTGGGATAACACCTTTACCGGGATGTAACCTTCACTGGGATAACACCTTCAACATTACCAAACCTCCTTACTGTATTTTTATACACCAAATACAAATTAACATAATACGCTGTATTTTTCTCTCCTCTACATTCACACATACATGTTTGAAGCATTAAAATATTTACAATCAATGTGTTGAGCGCCATTAAGCCTGGATGTGTGATTAACGTCGCTCGCGCCATAAAACCATAATAAAGCTTAATGTCAACACGTTTAGTCCACATAAATCTGTGTAATGGTATGATTTATAACCTAGACAGCTTGTGTGTAATTTCCATCTCGCGATGTGCAGCTGTCTGTCTGTCTGTCTGTCTGTCTGTCTGTCTGTCCCGGATGAAACTATCCAATCCAGGTCAGGAACTACTTAAATATCTTTCAAATTTGACAGTTATTTCATTTTGCTAAGTCATTTCCTGTGGCATTTCAGTATCAAATTAAATATCGAATAACGATATACCAAGTGTGAAGGGAGGGTACAGGAAGATCGGACACCTCACCAGCTACACAGGCTAACCATTACCCAGGGACAGCAGCAGCTAATCGACTTAAACACGCGGGTCCCTATAAACACTGATGGGCTGGCGAGAGGTAGATGGTCAGTGGGGGAGGAACCTGGTCGCAGTAACACCCAGGCCAGGAGCCGAAAGCAGGTCCTCAGGCGTGTGAGATGAACCCGGAGATTCAGACTCGTGAATCCAAATCCTCCGAGGACAGCATAACGCATGAGTGAGGTGAGAACAGTACATGTACTCTGTAACGTCACTTGTACTCAAATGTGTCACCGGGGGGTCAAGGGTCAGCGGTATTGTAACTTTAATGATAAAATACGTTTCTGTTCTCCTTATACGTATAACAATTATTAAACCTTATATAATGCCACGAATGAAAGGTTATTAATACGCGTATGTATTGTATTTAATATCTACATACCGAATTACTGACTCGTTCAACCTCAATATAATCAATTACAGCTAATTTATACTTTAATGGTCAAAATTAATTACAGTTATTATGACTGTTAGAACCTCGTTATGTCAACACCCAGCGGTAGGAACTTCACGCGGGTGATTGTTCGCAGGCTGGCAGGGTGTACAGGCTGGCAGGGTGTACAGGCTGGCAGGGTGTACAGGCTGGCAGGGTGTACAGGCTGGCAGGGTGTACAGGCTGGCAGGGTGTACAGGCTGGCAGGGTGTACAGGCTACCAGGGTGTGTAAGTGTTATGGTGTAGCCCAAGTGTGCATGTTACTCTTATTACCTCGTGTGTTCACTGTTGGGAGTTTGGTCTTGTGTTAGTTTTTCAATGTGTGTGTGTGTGTGTGTGTGTGTGTGTGTGTGTATGTGTGTGTGTGTGTGTGTGTGTGTGTGTGTGTGTGTGTGTGTGTGTGTGTGTGTGTGTGTGTGTGTGTGGTTTATTTCTACTTATGTGTATATAAGCAAGTGTTTGCTGTTTGCATGCACATTGCACATACTTGTATATTAATACATAAATGCATATATATATATATATGGATATAATCCATTACACACACACACACACACACAACACAGAAAACACACACACACACACACACACACACACACACAAAAACACTAAACACACACACACACACACACACACACACAACATAAACACACACACACACACAGAAAAACACTAAACACACACACACACACACACACACACACACACACACACACACACACACACACACACACACACACACACACACACAGAAAACACTAAACACACACACACACACACACACACACACACACACACACACACACACACACACACACACACACACCTGCATGTCACTGGAGATAGATTCCCTGTCTCCTAGTATCTCGTGCAGGTTCTTGGTGCCTAGCATGTTTCTCAGCGTAGTCTGTGCTAGGAGCCGCGTGGAGTGGTGGGCGTTTTCCACGTTGGCCACGCTTACTGTCGCGTTGCTCACCCGGTAGTACACGACGGCGTCCACACTCACCGTCACCGAGTCCTTCGTCAGTACCTGTAGGAGCACACGGCCCAAAGATGTTAACACTGTTGATGGTGATGATGGTGATGATGATTATGATAATGATGATGATGTTTGTGGTGTGATGATGGTGATGATGATGATGATGTTTGTGGTGATGATGGTGATAATGAAGATGGTGGTGGTAGTGGTGTGGTAATGATAGTGTGATAGTAAGGATGATGATGATAGTGTGGCAGAGGTGATAATGATAAATAAAAGTAGTGGTAAAAATGATGGCAATGATTATACTGATTTGTAGGTACTTGTATGATAATTTCCATCGTCTTATATACTATCTATGGTCCATTATAACCCACTATGTTATATAATGGTCTACTACATTATGTCATCATCATTTACTGAACTACATTATATCATGGTCCACATTTTAATTTTCTTTTAATTATATGTATAAAAAAAATTATATATATATATATATATATTAAACCTATCTTTCATACGTTAATTTATTCTTTAATTTCTTCGTCATATTAAAAACTATAATTTATTCTATTTGAAAACAATTTATTTTAGGAAAGAGAAATAGAAAAAAAAACTGAGAAAAGGACAAATTGTTAATAGGTTTTGAGAAAATAGGGTGAATATTTAATAAGGGGTTGATAAATATGGAATGGGAGTAAATGAGGTAAAAGTACATTTATGGGACCCGTGAAATAGGGAGCTGAGAATAATGGGTTAAGACTATGTTAATGGGAGGAGGTTAATGTGTAATAGGTGAGAGTACATTAATGGGTAGAATATATGGAGAGAGAGAGAGAGAGAGAGAGAGAGAGAGAGAGAGAATAGTGAAGGACATCAACAGGAAAATCGGACATCAGACGGACGGGAAATAAGACATCATAAGAAGACAATGTGACATCAAAGGGGTGTATGGGACATCAAAGGGAAGAATGTGACATCAAAGGATAGAGTGTGACACCAAAAGGAAAATTTAACAAGTAAAGGGAGCACGTGACATCAAGGGTGAAGTCAGGGTGGGGGTGGAAGTCAAGAACCCTCAGAGGAGAGTGACTTAAGGGTCAAGGATGTGCTGTACATGCCAGTGAGTGTTGACCATCTATCATATTGGCCAAAAACAACAACAACAAAAACACACACAAACACACAAAAACAAACAAACAATAAAGAGTTTTAAGGACACGAAAACAGGAAAGAAAAACACCTTAATATAACCACCAGGTGTAAATAAGCGTGGGAAAAACAAACAAACAAACACGTGGTGAGTTTGTTTACTTTCGATCAGCTGTCTGTAGTAAGAGAACAGCTGATGGGGGGGGAGGGGCAAAGGTGTGGTCAGGTAAGTATGTGTGATTGGACGGGGCCAGGTGATGACGTCAACACTACAGTACTACAGGTTCACTACACGTCAGGTTAAGGAAGGTCATACTCGAGCAAGTGTATTCATTTTGGGTCATGCATAGTCATACTGGGTCGCTTGAGGTCACACTATGTTAGGAGACAGTGAAATCTCCCAATAACGAACTTCTCTCTTCATATAACGTACTTCTCTCTCCATTTAACGAACGGATTCCCTCTCCATATCATCCGTTAGTTGGGTGGGGATCACATCTAACGGACCCTTAATATTACGAATTTCCGTATCCATATAGTCCGTTAAATAGCGAACCATATTACGTACAGACTCAAAATATTTACAATTACAAAAACGATAATAAATATGACGTCATTGAAGGCCTTATTACACTAATTAAGGGTATTATTACACTAGGTCTTATTGCACTAATTAAAGGTCTTATAATACTAATTTAAGGTCATATGATATGTTAATTGGTCTACTAAGTTATGTTACCTGACAACATGACAAGCTAATTACGTAATGTTTCTTGATCAACGACAATACAACAGGTCATGTAAAGTTATCCGGGTCATATAAGGTCACCAGCAGCTATTTACGGTCGTTTTATGGTAAGTTAAGTGATTAGGCGTGATACTAAGTCATTTCAGGTCAGATATGGTAATTTTGCTTCATATAAGGTGAGTCTAGGCCTTTTTGCTTCACATAAGGCAAGTCTTTTGCTTCAAGGTATATAATTCATGTCATTCTCTTTAACGTAAAGTCAGTCTACGTTAGTTAAAGTCATTCTCTTAACTTTTTTGGTGGCTTCAGGTCATTATCGGGACGACACGACCATTTGGTGTTAAGTAAAGCAACATAAGGTCAAATTTTTATGAGTCATTCGGAGTCATTCTGGGTTATGGGGCCATTGGAGGTTATTTTCAGCCTTGTAAATTCTCTCGGCATCGGGTGATATTAGCATCAATAATCTGAGGTCATTTAGGGTCATAGCAGGTCAGATTCAGTCGCTCTGGACCATATGTGATAATAAAAGATCTTGTGAGGTTGTCCAGTCACATGGTTGGTCATTATTGGGCACGGTAGGTCATTTTAGGTCATGTTAGGTCTCTATTGATTATATTTCATCCTTCTGGAACATGTTAGAACGTTCAGGATGATTTGCGATCATTCTAGGTCATACTAGGTCGTTCAGGTTCAGATATGGTCATTCTTGTCATGTTAAATCATTCTGAGTCATGCATGATTATTCTAAGATTTGAAAAGTCGTTAGAACTAATATATAGACATTCCAGGTCACATTAGGTCAAGTTTGTTTTCAATTCATCATAAACGATGCAAAGTTATTCCAGGTCATGTTAGGTCATCCTGTGTTTTGATGGGCTGAGATTAGATAAGACATTCACCCTGGGTAATTCTGCTCTATTTAACGAGGTCATAGAAGTCCATGTTAAGTGATTTGGGGTCATTCGAGGTCATTATAACTCAACTGTCATCATCCCGGGTCATTATAAGTCGCGTATCATCGTATCAGGTTATTATGATTTATATATCCACCTGGGGTCATGTAAGGTCATATTTTTACCTTAAATTGGGGATAAAAAGTAAGGAAAAAGTCTCATAGTAATTTCGTGACCATTTTAACCTCTCTGTGTACTAAACGAGCCAATTATTTGCGTACGTGTGTCTTTACTTAGTACAAAAACCAAAAAAACAACGTGCAACCTTCTAAGAATCGTGGCGTTTGTGGTGTAGCAAAATTCATCCAAGACTCGACACCGTATCCCTATTTTCACACTTAAGGCAGAGGATTTTGGGTTTGGTTAGGTTAGGTTAGGATGAAGATTGGTTAGGTTAAATTAGGTGAATGGTTGGTTAGGTTAAGTGACGGATTGGCTAGGCTAGGTTAGGTGGGGGATTGGTTAGAATAGGTTAGGTGGGGGATTGGTTAGACTAGGTTAGGTTAGGTTAGGGGTTGGTCAGCACCGTGGCGGTAGTTTGTGTTAGGTAGCACCATCGATCTGTTGCTCCATTACCTTACATGACTCTTTGACCAGCGTGAAGAATGCGAAGCTGAATATTTCATAACCAGCTGATGTGGTTGGTGGTGTAGTGTGGGGAGGTGTGGTGTGGTATGGTGCGGGGAGGTGTGGTGTGGTGTGATGGTGTATGATGGTAGTAGTGGTGGAGTGGTTGGTAGTGGTGGTGCATGATGGTAGGGTGTTGACGGTGGTAATGGTAAAGTTGATGGAAGTACACTACTAGCTATGAGAAATGGGCGGTAGTTATGGCAGAAGTGTTGGTGAAGGGTGGTAGTTATGGTGAAACAAGACAGAGACGGACGGTGATTGGGGAGTTATCACTTTCCTCAAAGAATGTATAGAAGTAATAAAATGAAATAAACAAGACGAAGATCAACACACGAGAAAAGATTACGAAGAGGAAGCAAGAAGACGTCATTAAGTGTGAAGTAGACCTCTGTAATGACGAGAGCGACGCACCTCAAAACAGACAGTGTGTTCATGCAACTACTGAGAGGACCTTGGTAAGACGTAGAGAGAGATGCATGTAAACACAAAGCACGAAGCAGGAAGGTAAGCAGAAGAAGTAGCAGGGACGAGCAGGGCAACACTAGTGAGGGGTATATAGTAGGCGTCTTTGTGGGGGAAGTATGGGGGGGGGGATGAAGACCCACAACACAACATACATCTAGCAGAAGGGGTTGTACTACTTTGGTTCTTCCTGAAGCACATGGCATTTGGAATGTTTCTTAAGAGGCGGCAAACACCATTCGTCACAAATTTTCAACCCGAAAAGTAAAGCTCAAAAGGATGTTGGCAAATTAAATATGTAGACTTGCCGCAATTTTGTTTTTTAACTAAAGTAAACAAAAAAAATGACAAATCAGGAGAACACATTCCAGTTTATTAGTTAGTTCGGGTGGCTGGTGTTTGTTCTTTGTTGAGAGGGGGTGGTGGGGGGTCAGGGGTTAGCGTGAGTGGGGGGGGAAGGACGTCTCTGGTCTGATGTGGCTGGCTGGACAAGCTACTGCAGCACCAATTATTACGTCATCTTATCACTGAACATGTTAGTATCTATTCTACTCTAGGATCTGTGGCAGATAATTTAACCTAGGTATACCGTGGCGAAGGTGAAGATTAAAGATAAGAAGACACTGTGATAAAGGTGAGGTGAGGGAAGAGGAGTGGAAGGGGAGAGCAGGGGAGGCGACACCCACCTCTTGCGGAGGGACGTCAAACGTTATTGTCCGCAGGTCCACTTTTCGGTAGGAGTCTATACAAGGAAGCGTGAAAAATATGCCTGCAAAATGCCATGTAGTGAGGTGGGGTGCAAAGAATGGGCCGCTTGGCTCCTATCATCACAGGACGTGGGTAAGGAGCGGGGTAGAACTGACACCATCGTGGAGGTTGAGGGAGAAAGTTTCAGCATGATGGCGGATCAATGTATGTTAGACACGCTGAGGGGAAGGATGGAGGACAAGTCTTGGAGGACCTGAGGGGGTCTAACATGAAGAGGTATAACATTATTCTGACATGATTAAGGGAGGAGACATAGGAGGGCTGTGATGATGATGGAACAGTGTTTGTTCGGTGCACTACACACGTGGCGGCCTCCTGCAGTTGACACTCACACACACAGGGAGGGAAACCCTTGGCGACCACTGGAAAAAGGGGAGTGACGTTAGCACTTCAACGGGAGGGTGAGCCCTGTGTCACGATAGTGTCCCTTTCCGAGTTCATGCTCTGAAAGTCAGCTGGGTGCAGAGAAGAATAAAAAAAGTTTTGTGCCTACAGTCAGAGCAGCCCAACTTCTACAAATGTCCATGAGGGACGGGAAGGCCTTGGAGACCCCAAGAGAGACCTTGGTCCCGACGGCTGTACAGAGGTCATGCACCGGGCAGGCAGCCACCACAGCGGTGCACACTCACATCCTGCTACTCATGCACTCTGGATAAGGACAAGCGAGGCTCATCTGTATCTACAAGATGGCTACTAAGCCTCAAGAACTACTTAAAGGGATTTCCAGGTGATGGTGATGGCTACAGTATCTCTCGTTACGACAAAGTACCATAACAATATTGGCCTCTGTATGACCAGTGTTTTGAAGAGTCAACGCTCATGAACTTGACCTCAGGTCTGAGTACATTATGATACATCGTGGCACTTATTCCTCTCCCCTTAGTGAAGAATATTATTGCTTGTTTTAGCTGAGAGGACCTAGAGGAGGCACAACTGACGCTGACCAAACACAACACTACCATCAGTGAGGGGCTCTGGGAGGAAGAGTGTGCGTGTCTGTCTGTGCTCAAGAGGGAAAAAGATAAAACAAATCGACAAACTAGTGCGTAAGAGAAACGTGTGTGACATATTGGAGTGTCGGAGGTTAAGTAAACTGGTTATTCAACTTGCCTCTTGGGGCGGAACGTCAAATACACTGGTCCTCAAGTCTACTTTTGAGTAGGACTCAATGCATGGCAAGATGAAGAAGATTCCTGTTGGGGGAGAGACACAATGCTTGTCTGATTTAGTTAGATATGAGAAACACAATATCATGCGGGGTCAGGTTGGGGCGACATCCTCGAAGGTTCATTACAGGAGCACCTCCTCCCTTCCCTTCCCTTTACCATTTCCTTCCACCACTCTCTTCCCACCCCAACCAGTCCTTCTCTCCCTCTCCCAGCCGGCCCTCCAACACCTCTGAGGGTCCCTGGGTGGCCTCCTGAAAGTGAAAGTCAAACAGGTGAGTTGATCTTGGGTGGCGGGCGTGGCTGAGATAACACACCACACACCGCCCACTCAACACTCCTCCGCCTGTGTAAACTGTGAAGAATTCCTCTCATTGGATTAGTAAGAAGGATTTTGATCTTGTTTTATGTCCTTACACTAAATAGAATGTCTTGAGATACTTAGCGACATACAGATCGTTAACATAACATGCACTTAGGTTAATCAGAACACATACACAAGTTAATGAAAGCTATTCTAAAACATTTATATTCATACTCTTCAAATACACATAGTTGTAGTTGATAATTTATTCATTTAACTTCAATAAACACTTGGAAACACTTAGACAGACGAACTATACTAATTAGACTAATACTGAACGAGACTAAAAGCAAATAAAATAAATATATAAAAGAAAACGTCGAATACTTTTAGGGTAAACTGCACCAGCCCGGAGTTGTTGTTTGTCTTTGGTTAAAAAATTCAAAATGTTGGACAAATCCTTCGAAGTTAAGGACATTTATTGTCTTGTTCTGTGCTTTATAAAATTACCCCCGTTATTTTTCTCCGTAAGATTGGGTGATTTTCTTCTCATTAACGCATATAACACGTGATGAGGTTCATTTTAGTACAGGTAGACTCTTAACCCCTCGAGTATGATGACAACAACCTGAGTATATTGAACGATTATAATAAGCAACGTAATACAGACAAGAGTGATTTTATTATGATCGAGAGATAGACCCCGTGCACAAGGGGTTAAAGCATAGATGAATTATAAAACAGAGGAGAAACAACAACAACAACAACGGTCACCAACGCCTCTAGCGGCAAGGGGGAAAACTTCTATCTCGAAAGCCACCATAAAGATATATTTATTTGCCTCACTTGTTAATTTATCTCATTACGGCGACGGTCAGGTTGATTAAGAATATAATTTATTTAGTAACAACGTAATGGAAGTTTATTGTGACGGGATAAAGTGCGTGATTAGGTTGAAGCAGTTAATTTATATGAATAACTACCTATTAACACAAAGTTTTTTAATTTAAACTGGCACTATTCCTTTAAACACTAGCACCCTCCCTTATACATTGGCACCCTTCTTTAAACATTGGCACTCTCCCTTTAAACATTGGCACCCTTCTTTAAACATTGGCACCCTCCCTTATACATTGGCACCCTTCTTTAAACATTGGCACCCTCCCTTTAAACATTGGCACCCTTCTTTAAACATTGGCACCCTCCCTTTAAACATTGGCACCCTCCCTTTATACATTGGCACCCTTCTTTAAACACTGGCACCCTAGAGATTGTTAATAAGTTGGTCTGATTATTTTTAGTGTTTCTTTGCACCTGTTCAACATTTCTTAATATAACAGCTTAAGTGATCTTATATATACAGAAAACAACTGAGCGATAGTTTGTGAAAAGTATGAATATTATTGTTCTAATTTCTTATTGGCTTCCAACATACATACATACATACATACACAGAAGAGTAAGTAGCCATTGATTTAAACATTTAACTAAGTAACTTATTTAGTGAACACACACACACACACACACACACACACACACACACACACACACACACACACACACACACACACACACACACACA